CGCCAAGTAGAAAAGCTTGAGCGAGTGCAGCATGTAGCCACCAAGCTGATTCCCAAATTACGAGTTGTGCCGTACGAAGACCGGTGTAAGAAACTAGGGCTGTACACCCTAGCTTATCGTCGAATGAGGGTAGACCTCATTATGACTCACCGGATATTACATCCGGGTGATTACCCAATAATGAGACCACTGCTTCATCTGCGCACACCAAGCAGCATACGAGGACACCAGTATAAACTTGTAGTACCGGATTTGAAACGGTCCCTCACCAAATCTGTTTCGAACGCAGAGTGGTGAATGTATGGAACAACCTGCCGAAGCACTTAGTAGAAGCAAACTTGGTGTCGGAATTTAAGGAGTTCCTTGACAAACAGTTTGCGGACGCAAAATATATAAAGCGGAACACAACATAAATGGTACATGTCCATGAGAGACAATTGATGTAGCTACACAGAGCAAGCTCTACTCGCTGCTTCCAAACAGTAATCAGTAACCACTATGGAATAAATAAGAGGATCACTGAGAAGAACGTTTGCACAAGTGTGACAAATGGCGCAAATGTGTTGTTGAGCATACAGAGCAACAGTAAAATATTCAACCCACAGCTTATCCGGATAATTTGTCCTTTACACTTTGTATCTAACATACGACGGTAATAAAAATGCGGCCCGTGTCACATAATGCAAACCTCCGTCATTAAGCACGATCACGTGTTTTGAGTGTAGGAACGACACCATAGCTCAATCATCGATAGTCGCTCATCCAAACTCAAACCGAGTGCACTGAAAACCAAACCGCTTACACCGGAGCTGCATCACCAGGTTAACAACGATGTAGATGACGTTCCTGTTGAATGTGCCAGTAAACCATGCGAAATTTTAACCGACAGCAATTAAGTACGTAAGGTAATCGCTCATTTTGCCGCGAACAACACTGGAAGTAAGTTTCGTGGGTATCGCTCGCCTAATGTAATATGGGTCATGTCGAGAGTACCCAGGGCTTCCGTATCCGGGCGTTCATTGGGTCGTCATAGGTCCAGGGGGTTGAAAGTCGAAACAGATACTTGGTAGGCGGCTGGACAGTTTCCTATCAACCACCTACTAGGAGTCGGAGGTGGATGAAGAGTGCGCCTGAGTTATATCTCGTGGTTAGCTGCACGGTGTAGTCACAGCTGGCGATGGAGGACGGAGCCTGAGGTGTGTGGATGGATGACAGTAATACGCACATGATTGCAACAGATGTCCATCTATAACCGCAACATGTACTCACGTAGAATTGGGGTGGAGTGAAATAGCAACTTGCACTTGCCAATAGTAAATGCCATATGAACTCTAGGACTGGTTTGCGTCATGCGGAGCCACTCATCCCTGTACAGACGCTACAGCCTGACGAGTAAATGTGATTCGCCAAAGCGAGTACATTTTATTTGCAGCTTCAAAGCACCTCACCGCAACCCTATGGTGTGTTTGAATACAGTCCACAACTGACAAATACCCATCCGGAAATATTTCCCTAGAGAGCGTGATAAATGTTAGTCCTGCTTCCCCTACATGCTCTGCGTTTCCGCATTGATCATCCTTGCACGACAAGCAAGCAGCGTCCAGCCGCCTGCGTTGGTGTAACGGGTTAAGCAATCCGGCAAACGGCCACACACACTACCCATGTCCGTCAAGTCTGCATAGTTCAATTTTCTTATTTATTATGCCCTTATCAAAGTCCTTATCCACTGGTTCTCCGAACACAAACAACGACAGGCGGTAGAACATAATCGGTTGCCGCACAACCGTGTTAGAGTGGTATCTACTTGTCTAGCTCTCACATGATTGTTCTACAACGCGGCAACTAAAACGGGTATGCGACGCGACCACACGCACGAATCCACGATGTTCCCCCGAATAGAGAACTGGCTATTTCTAGCAGTATAAAGTGCACTCTGATCCGTCATCATAATAAAGTAAGAGCAACATTCGCTTGAAACAGGTAGTTTACTGCCAACTGAATGTTTTACAGATCGGCCAAATGAACAACGCGTTCATAATTCTTGCTGACATGCTGAACCATTTGTTCGCAGTGCTGCTGCGTCACTAAGGCCCATGCTTCAGACGCCGCGTGCTCCAGACAGCGAATCCGCCATTCGCTTTTATTTAGAACGCCTTTAGGATCTTCCAGGCGCATTTCGTATTACCGTCCCCTCATTGCCTGTTTTACATGAGCCTTTATTATGCTCCAGATGCCCTCGATGGGATTGAGAGCTGGAGAGTATGGCGCAAGGCATAAAAGTCTCCCAGAGTGGTACGGTTCCTCCAGGAAAACATGCTCCAGGTGCGTGTGACAGGGCGCGTTCCACAAACCCTGCTCCGTGGGTATCAAGCACTTGTCGCAGCAACTGAGCGCACCTTTGCTTGTTGTAACTTCCTCTCAGAACCGAACAAGCTATCAAACCGTTGTTTGTCATGGCACCGACAAGATGAACATTCGGTTCCCGTCTATTCGCCACTGTGCACTGCGCTTGACTACCACGTCGTGAGCGGCCTCGAGTGCGGGATCAAAATAAGTTGAAGTTGGTCTCATCAATCCACACCGGTTGCCTTCCTTCCACGTCGTAATCCGTGAGCTGCAAAATGAATGATCTGCATCGCTTTTTGTTCTCCAGCATGTTCATGAACTCCGGAATGGTGTGCAATTTCTTCATTGTTATCAAGCTACCATTCAAGTATCGTGAGACGGTGCTGGTACTTACTGAAAGTTCGAACTCCACCTTCAACTGTAAACGAATGTGTTCAAAGATAACGGTGGGCTTCGCAAAAACCCACTCCACCAGAGAGTCGATGCGGCTTTCTCTCCGTGCTCTGCGACGGACTTCCCGTGCTGCCCCACCGGTTCCATCGATTCGTACGCCCGTATCCAGTTGCGGCAAGTTTTCATGTTCACCTTCAGTGTGCAATCGATCTGCTTCCAATCGTCTCCTTCTTCGTACGCTTTCAGTATGACGTTCTTCACCTCCCTCGAGTGCTGAACATACAAGCCAACCATTGCGTTTAGGTGAACTAGACGTTCAAAATCACATGGCAAACTTGTTTGGCTGTGGCTCTTTGTACCAACCCAATAGTCGTTCAAATCCCTACTCTCGTTCTAATTGGTGGGAATCCCTCTCTTAGACAGAGAAACACAGGCCCACATGGTGCATCGGCCACCGACACTGTACCTGGTAGGAGCTGAAGCGTCCTCTATGACTTAGTGCGTCTGAGGTCCTATTGGCTGAATGCGCCGGACTATACACGTACACCTGCACAAGTGAGCAGCTCACACACGGCTCAAATTAACTGAGTAAAGACTCAACTTGTATGCTCCTCAGTGCAACTCCTTTGCCGTTCAGACTAACTCTGTTACCCAAGGGAACAAGTTGGCCAAGAAATAATGTACCTGTTAATCGTCTTCTGTTCCGAGTAACTTTACGGTTTTCTGTACTGATTGTAGTTTCTTTGTATGCTATTTGGATTCAACCTCATTTTCCTGCGATTGTTACATATTCTTATTCGGGTGATGTGAGTCGTAGTAACTGGATCCGCCGCACTTCGGGACTGAACTGAATCCAACCACACTGCGAAGGGCTTTTATCTAAAGACCGCCAGTCGGTTAACCGAGTAAATCTAATGTCTGAATGAATGTCAGTAGTAGCAGCAATGCTTCATGATTTATTCCCGCATAAAAAGGATAAAGGGAAGTGTGAAAGAGTTGGGGAGACCTATCTGTAATTGATGTTTAGGTAAACACCTTCACATAGATTACCACCCGATCCAATCAGTTGCGGCATGTACATTTCAGAGTACTATGAGTCTTCTCTGGTACTTCACTCAAGGATGATGCCACAGGCAAGCATGATCAACCGAACAATTATGATAAATACACTGCATGTATGTGTTTGTATCATCACCAGCGGCTCCCGTTCGTAGCCAAGTACGCAATAGCCATATTTCAGCAGATCATGGCAGCAATACTGACAAATTTCGATGGCGCTGTTGCATACCTGAATGGTTTTGTTGCTATCGGAAGCAATGTTGATGATAAGTTCGAAAAGCTGGATCGAGTTTTTGGCCGTGTTGAAAAATATGGATTAAGAATCCGTCCTGAGAAACTCACCTTACTCATGGATTCAATCACATTTCTCGGCTTTATAATTGGTAAGAACAGTAGGCGTCCAGACTCAGCGAACATCAAAGCAATCAAGATACCACCTCCAAAGAGGCTGTAACGTTAAGGCCCTCGCTGAGGCTCATAAGCTATTACAGCCCATTCATAATGCACATCATCGCTTGCGTGGTTCACTCAATGATCCGCTGACCAAGGATAAAGATTGGAACTGGTCTGAAGAATTCCAGAGAAAATTTGAAACGGTAAAAGATTGCTGTTTCGATCTGATGATGCACTACAACTCTACCTTGGAGACTGTGGTGGCCGCAGACCCTCACAACTACGGCATCGCAGGACGGTAGCACACACCTTTGAACGTGGCCGTTCCGCTAGCGAAGCGGTTTAATGATAAGACGCCAGTAAAATGAATTGAAAGAACCACAAGAGAGAACATGGATTTCTGGTTACTACTGTACAGGTCCATCACCAACAACCAGGTGCCAAATCACCTGTCACCAGCAAAAGTGCTAATAAGTGGGAAATCACAGGTAGAATTCACTGTTGCTCCCGAAGCGTACTGCCACACAAAAGAGAAATGCGTTAACTGAAAATAGGTCAATCAGTGAAATAGAATGAAAGTGAATTCACTTCAAGTAGGTCAGTTTTGATCAGAGACCAAGTATAAGAACTATATAAAGTTTGAGTGAGAGCTATGCATGTGACCACAGAAGGGAAGCAACCGCAGAGTATAAATACATGGCCAATGAACTTCTAACTGAGGCAGGAACCAGCATACAACTCAATGGCTCTAAATGGCGACATATGTAAAATATGAAAGAAAACGACTATCAACTAGAAGCACATCTCACCTCTCCAGGTTTTAATTTGATGGTCCTCTAACTCGGTCATTGGAGTGGTGGGAGATCGATAATAATGATGGAGAATACGAATGAAATCTGTGATTGTCAACATGCCAATGTGAAGCTGTTTGATAGAATCCCATAGGATTGCCACACGAACACCGTTGTAAACAAGAGCAAAGAAGGCTTTCTTGACCTAGGGTGAAACACATTTCACATATGAGGAAACAACTCACATTTAAAGTGACGTCAAAGACAACCAGTTTGGCACTAAGTGGGATTAGATCGTAACACGTGTGGCGCTTGAGGAAAATGCCGTAGGAAAGGTCAGGATTGGCTATAAGGGGACTTTACGATCAAGAAATGCAACATACTTATCGACTCCACATGCACGTCTGGAAAAGAATCCAATCCCTAAAGAAAAAAGATCAGTGTAAAATTGACTATATATATATATATATATATATATATATATATATGCAACGGTCTATGAATAGACATAAAGCCATCAGAAACCATGGGATTCAAAAGAAGGTACAGGAATAATAAAAGAAAACATAACACAAAAATGTCCACGGTTTCGTCAGAGGGCGAGATATTAAATGCGGCAAAAGCGATATAAGAGAAAGAAGGTAGATCATCTAAGCAAAATACGCTGCACTGCACCGATGCAGCACTCAGAAACCTCAGACCAGAAGAGGGTAGGCGTGCTGAAAAAAACTTAAGCACGCGGAAACTCAAGCAGTAAGGGGCCACATGTAGAGAAATATCCCTGGTTCATCAGAAATCAAACAGTGTAAGCGCGAAGCAAATCCGCATGGATGCTAATTTATTCTAAGTGTAGCTGTATTTAGAAATGGATAATTGAAGCGCATAAAACAACGAAATAGAGCAGAGCCAGAGTAACATTAAAGCGTGTCCTAAATCACTCAAAGTGACACAAATCGTCAGGTGTTAGGCAATGCATCCCTATGCACTGCAGTACCTCTGAGTTGAAGCATGCTGTTGATTACAAACGTTATTCACGGGTAAGTTAACAAAGCATACGGGAGACATCGCGATATATTACCGTTGATACCTCAGAAATCCCAACGCTGATCATTGTACGGATAGATATTGAAATTGACGACGTCGGTAACAAACAGGGCAAAACATTTATTGTCTGTCAGCTTACGATTCTAGCCGTCGTAGTTACATCCATGAGCCGATAAGGCGGCAGAACCCAATCTTCGGTTGCAAACAATATCACGAGATCGAGTAAACCTGCTAAGTCAAAACTGGATACACATATTGACTATTACACTGGATGTTTCGAAAGATAAACAAAACACGAAGCTTTGAGCAAACAATTGTTTTCGATTACTTCTTCATCAGGCTCATACAATTGTTTGCTCAAAGCTTCGTGTTTTGTTTATCTTTCGAAACTTGAAGTAACAAATGGGCATTCTACTTGAATTGATACACTGGATGTGATGAAAAGAGTTGCAGAAATCGCCGGGCTACTGCTGATTCAATACATAGTGAGATGGAAGGCGCTCTACCTAAATTCACCGAAGTGCTAATAATACCATATGCCTTAATTGCCTTCTGACAATGGAGAAAGAGGAATTAACCCACTAGAGGGAGTCCTTGACAGATGATTGCGTATGAATATGCAATGACTGCAAGATGACCATGATAGTCTGACGCCAATTAAGGATTTGTTTACAACACAGTTGAGTGATGAGAACATCAAAACTTGATTGCATCTTTGCCTACTTACAGAGTTTGAGGAACCCACTCGTGAGCCGGTTACACGTAGAGGACATGATAAACACGCTCGTTTAGGCTTTAAAGTCGAATCAGCCCCCGGTCTCTTTAGGAGGATTATTGATGGCTCGGTAGATGTACACTTAATTAGTGAGTACTTAGGTAAAAATCAATTGACGACATGAGACAGAGCATCGTGGAAGTTCACTTGCTTTTCCCAAACGACCGATAAGAAAGGAATAACCTTGAGAAAATCCAAATGGGGTACCTTATTCTTAAACTAGATCTTTTTCATGTTTTTAAAAGCCGTTCCCCAGTATATGGTTTGTTCAATTCTGTTATGCTGATGCAAATTCTGTGTCAATTTTGCGTATTTGGTTCCAATCAAATTCCATGTTGGTCGCGTGATATCCCGGTGTGGCTGCGCTTGACGTGAATACTGAGAAGGTGCAAACCTGTTTAATACCCTCCACATAGATTATTGGCTCCATAAACTGGGAACCTTTGTTGGGGGGACGCGGTGCACGGTCCTGGTGGCCGTGCTAGACTCAGAGTGGTACCATCAAGTGTGGAGCGGACAACGGCCTAGCCACCGCATTGTGTGCGTCTGGTACGCATGTTTGCCTACATAGATAGATAGGAATGCTGCCGTAGTGCAGGTTAAAGGAGTGTGGGCCGGCTCTAAGGATGTAACGTGGCTCCCATCCACATGCCTCCCGGTCTTATTCCTTCGGGTCTACACTGGATATGGGGTGTGTGGGTGGCGCACCGCAAGCCACCCATGGTCCCTCTGTAGGCGCAGGCGTCCTGTGGCTGCCCCAGTGGAGGCCACAGTAACAGGCAAATCCTGAGCCGGATAGCGCCAACCATGTATGCTAGATGAATAAATCTAAATCTTCAGAGGCAGATCCAAATGAGTCCCTGCAATCACACTATCGAGCTGGATATGCTCCTCCAATGTCTTGTGGATCAGGGTATTGCGCCTAAGGATCCGGGTGTAGTCCCCCAAGCAAACCTCTAAACCACCCACTGCCATTCGGATCAGGCTATTGAGCCAAAGACTCCGGGTGGGGTCCAACAAGTAAACCCCCAAAGCACGACCAAGCAACAAGCGTGCGAGTGCGCAGCGCTACAATCATATGCCTGCGCGCAAAGCACTCAACATCGAGTGCTGGAACGTGTGCACACTACTGGGTCGGAACTCGAGTGAGCGCCGCAAGCAACGCACTGAACTGGTCGCGATGGAACCGGCGCTACAACATCGCTATTGCGGTGCTCAGCGAGATACGGTTTGCTGAACAAGGTAAGTTGCATGAAGCACGTGTAGGCTATACGTCCCACTGGATGGGAAGCGACACCACAGCATCACATGAACATGGGGTCGGATTTGCACCATCTGATCGCCTAAATGACCAGCTGGTGGGTGAGCCTAATGACACGAATGTTCATCTACGACGCAGAAGAGAAGTTTGCCACTTTTATAAGTACTTACGGTCCGCCCATGTGCTATCTTGATGACACGCGTGATCAGTTCTACACTCAGTTATCCTCCGTGGTACGGTCTGTGCCGAAGAGCGATAGACTATTTCTGCTGGGTGATTTCAACACGCGCCTTGGGCGTGATGCATCGGGGTAGACAGATGATATCGATCCGCATGGCATTGGTTCAGCGAATGCCAACGGCGACAGGCTGCTCTCATTGTGTGCCACTCATGGCTTGAAGACTATGAACACTCAATTTACAGTGAGTGCGAGTGACATAGCAACTTGGACGCACCTAGGGAGTGCTCACGCTCACCTGCCCGACTATGTCATCGTACGTCAGCGTGACGCGTAAAGTGCGCATGACACATGTACTGCTTGAAGTTGAGTGTGGCACTGACCAAAAATTGGTGCGGAACAAAGTGGAGATCTACGTGTGAAAAAGTACGTACTGTGTGCTTGCTGTGAATCGGAAGCCTAAACTTCACATTCTATCTATCGGTACTGTGGAAACACGAATTGAGAAAGCGATTGCTGCAAGCCTGCGTGATGTGGAATGCATAAGCACAGGGGGCGATCTGTGGCATCACATTCAGGACAAGGTGACAGTTGTTGTCGAGATCATCCGGCGCGCAAACTGCAAACGGCCTGATTGGTTTGATGAGAACAATGAGACGGTTGGCGCATTGGTGTGTGAGAAGAATGCAGCATTTGCTTTACATGTGGTAGATCCCAGTGACTTGGGGAAGAATAGCCAGTTTCGCAAAATTCGACGGCGACGGACTCCAGAGCGTCACATTAAGATGCATAGACGGAGAATGCGAAGTAGACGGAATGCTATGCCTAACGCCGTCAACATAAAAAATGCTTTGACTTCTTGAAGGCGGTGTATAGACTGAGGTTGGAGCCGCTGATGATGCTCCAAGATAGTAGTTCAGGCGCTGAGTGCACATAGACTGTAGGCATAATATATTTGTGGCATAATCACTGACTGTCTGATGAATAACCGTTCAGAGATTGACTAGCCTACACTGAACAGCCTAAAGCAGCATGAGGTGAAGGTGAGTCTGGAGGACACACCGACAGTGGAAGAAACGTAGAGAGCACTTGTTCAGCTGCGAAACGGCAAGTGTGCCGGTGTCGACGGGATCTCGCCTGAAGTATTAAACACAACGGACCCGCGTTGGTGAATGCGCTGCACCAGCTAGTGCAACGCGTGTGCATTGAGGAGAAAGTACCTCCTGAGATGAATGATGCGCGTTGCCCCCCCCCGTACAAGAGTAAAGGAAGCAAGCAATGTGCCATGAATTATCGTGGCATTTACTTGCTGAGTTGTGTGAGTAAGGTGACTGTCCGAATCCTGCTTAACCGCCTCGTCAGTCAGGCAGCGGAACCGAATGTGGCGAAAGAGAAATGCGGGTTCCGTTCGGATCGCAGCAACACAGATATGGTGTTTGCGGATCGTCAGCTTCAGAAGTGCAGAGAGCGAGACCAACCGTTGTACTCGCCGTTAACTGATTAAACTAAAGCATACGATACGGTGAACCGCAAGGCCTTGTGGCTGGTCTTGGGCAAGTTTGGCTGTGCGAGTAAGTTTGTAAGTTTAATTAAACGGCTGCACAGTGGTATGCGGGCAAGGATGTGGCTAAGTAGATAGACCTGGTGTGAAGCAAGACTGTGTCTTACATCCTGCCCTGTTTAATATTTATCTTCATGCCATGATGTCTTGTGCCTTTGATGCGGCTTGTGCTCCTTCGACCAAGTTCCATACGAACGGCTGCTTTTCAAACTTTAGGGAATTTGTATCACAGATCTCTTGGATTTCCGACTTCATGAAATGAAGGACAACGCGAGTGAAAGTAAAGCAAACATTCTCTGCTCATGTGTCTATGAATAGTAGCGTTCCCCAAAGATCCGTGCTTCGAGAAGAACTCTTCAAAATTTAAAGTAACCATCTCATGACTGTTGATAAACGCCGAGGATCTCAAGCTATGGTAAACAGTATCCAGCCTGGAAGATGTCGACAGACTGCAGAGGGCTTTAGGCCAGCTGCACAACTGGCCTACCAAATGGTGACTGCCATTAAACCGGGATAGATAAGCCGTTCTCCCAATAGTTAATGCTGATCCGTAGGGTACATAACACATTGGTGGGCTTCTCTTCAGGAATACTACTGAGAGAGA